CGAATTTCTGAAGTAACTGATCGATGTTGTACTGTTTCAGTACCTCGACGTTGGCCACGTGTGCTGCGTGCGGCTTCTGTTTCTGTGTGAAATGTCGTCGTGCCTACCATGGCGTGAATCCTTGTCGAGCCTTCGTCGTCGCTGGTACGTCCCAAGTTTTACTTCCACTAAACACGAGTATGAACAGGTTGTGTGGAAGGGATCCGAGCTACTGCAATAAGCTGGAACTTGCTCGGCGCGCGTGAATTTCTGCGCTAAAACGTCATTTCATTGCGATGACCGCAGCCTTGTTCTCCCGACCCTGAGTGCCAGTGGGCACGGCTGGGGCGGGCGGTTGTCGCCATCGTCATTGGTGGAAGGGCCGAGTGGGGTGTGGCCAAACGCCCCATCGCATATCCTTTCACCAGTGCTTCTGGCAACAGCTACAAGCCTCCAGCAATCGTGCGCACTTCTTGAATGATATTTAGTTTGGCTTTGGCAACATCAGTCGCTACCTTTCTTGCTCGAACTCCCCTGGCACGATTTATGTTTCCCAAAATGTTATCGGCTTGCTCATGTGACTGGCTGCTGTAACCACGGCCGGCTCTAGCGGTGCTCTGTGTATAAGAGGCAACTCGCGCCAATTTCTTTATGGTTCTTTAACATCCTGTAGAAGTCCCTGCAGCCTCTTTTGGACTGAACCGCTAGGGAAGGCTTAGTTCGAAGAGTTCTACTCCAACAGTCTCCCTGCTCCTCAGGCTGTCAAGTTGGTCTAAAGTCCTCAAAACCTAGCAAAAAGAAGACGGAGTTGCCGCAGAGGCAGAAATTAGGTTGAGCTACCGGCATTTCCTCGCTGGTTGGCTCGATTTACCGTGGCACATTTGTGTGAGATCAGCCTAGTTCGTATGGGAGAACAAAGAGCGGCGTTCCACTGGAGACCGCCCGTACCGTGTCTTCTCTCCAGTACACGCGTCTCTGCCTCTCTTTCGTGAAGACCCTCGCGGCTACGTACTCGAAAACACCTATCTTGGCCATCAGATATCGCAAGTGGGAAGCTCCTCTTTTCGCCATAAGATGTCGCAGGTACAGGTGCTGATATGGAAGGATGCTGCGCATATCGACGCCATTGCAACCTCGCCATGCAGTTCGCATCTCCTGACCCGCACGCAAACGGAGCAGGCGATTTATCGCCTCAGTTTTCAAAGGGCCTCTCAGTTGAACACGATAACCTTAACCGTTGTTCGTGTTGCTCTTTGCTAGGTATCAAGGTGGAGGAATTGTTGTGAAAGAGGGTGAGACAAATTCTGAAATTATTATGTTGTACGACAAAAGTCCCTTTCCCTCCCATCTTGACCGCCTATCGCAATTGATTTGTGTCTATG